TTTTTTTTTTTTTTTTTTTTTTTTTTTACATTACAGGGGTTGGGAAGATCAGATGAACCACAAGTTCATTTGACATTCCACAGCGAAAGGTCCAGTAGAAACAGATATCTGAAATAAGCCTGATAAATTAAGGCTACATATGGATCTGTCTGCATGACTGAAGCCCAGACAAGAGATAAGGTGTATTAGAAAGAGAGACTAGAGTCACAAGCCGAGGTTTAAATGTCGATATAGAAGGTGACAGGAAAAACTAAAAATGAAGAACAGCTTGGGGAATGTATCTTATACCAGAGATTTTCTGCTGTATGATTTCTACTGCAGTCTGACAGCCTAGATGTACATCAGATTTCCTATGGTAAGAAACCATTTGTGTTTTCTTTTTATGATTCCTTCCATTTAGGTCACAAATGCTTTCAGACTTTCTAGCTTTAAGAACTCCACACCTGCTGGTATGAGTATTTCCTCTTTCAAGCATGGTCTTTAATTTGTTGCTAATAAACTTTAACTTGACTCACTCAAAACTGTGAGCTAAAATGTTGGTCTTTGCTAATGCTAGTCTTATCATTTATGCCTTGGGAGCCCAAATACTATGCATTTTGCTTGGTTCCCTATATGCAAATGTTTAGGCAGAGATTACTGTTTATGCTGTTGTTTATTCCAGTGTCTTTGCATTTTGTTTGAAACAAGTCACCTGTTGAGCTTAGTTTTGTAATTCAGGTAGACTATGGGAAGAAATCCAGTGTCTTTCATTTCTTATTTCTATCATCTCCTTCTTTTCCTTTTTTTTTTTTCCTGTTCCATTTTCTCTTTTCCTTCCTACTTAATGGGATTTTAAAAAGTGGCATCCCCAATTTCCTCAATCAAGACTCCATAATTGGTCAAGTCAGGTAGCTTTAGTAAGGTTCATTTCAGATCTGGAGTCAACAGAACACAGAGTGATGCTCCATTGACTATCATTCCATTTACCAAAATGCAAGTTTTATTTTAATTGCGAAACTTTCAGTCGATTAAGGTGCAAAATGAATCACCACAAAGTTGAATGCATTTTTGTATTCTTCTGCTTGAGCGAAAATAGAACAACAGATGGCCATAAATTTAGGGAAGCTTAATGAATTGGCAAGTTATGACATGAAGTAAGTTGGAATGGAGTAATTTAAATGTCTATTAGCAAAGGAGGAAAAATCTTCAAAAATGTTATTTTTGGAAAATAGAACACATTATAATTTATATTACCTCTTTTATCATTCTTTCATTGAAAAGTTTAAGAAGATCATTGTTAAGATCATTTCATTGTTTAGTTTAAGATCAGTTTCAGAAAAGCATACTGCCTCTCAGCTCTACAACTTTACCTTGAAAATGCACAACACTAAGTTCTTTGAACTCAGAACCCTGGAAAGTTCAAGGTTTATAATAAACTTACTACAGACAAGGAGAGCCTCTAGGCAGAAAATATGTTTCCCTCCAAAATAGAATTGAGTCATGTAAATTCCTACTGAAGTTTGCTTTATATGCTAGAGCAATTATAAAGTGTAGGAATTTTATAAGTAAATGTGAGGTGCATAGAAAAGAAGGTGAGAGAGTATTTGGAGTGAATTTGAGAGATTTGTGGGTAGCAGGAGGTTAATCCCTATTACTATATTTTTAAAATTATATTTTCTCACATTAAGAATGTATTTATTGACGGAATTCATCCAATGCATACATAGACTGGAAGAATGCCTAATAATTATTCTATAAAATATTTTGGCAAGCTGTTTTACCTTCCTCCACAACCAACCAATGGCATGTTTTTCAAAGTGAGAATATACAGTATGAATATTAATTTAAAAAATCAAAAACTGTTGAATACTGTCTATTCATAAAACTACTCAAAGTAGATGTTCACCCTTCCAATGCAAAGAACTCACATGGGAATCAGTAGAGAACAATCTGCTTTTTGCAGCAGGACTATATGTTAATGCGTTTATTTTAAGCATAGATACTTTGCATTACTTAGAAATTAGTGTGAGTAATTTAAATGCTTGGCTATTTACAAATCATTCTTCAAAATTATTTTTAAAATAAAAGCAATTAGGCGGTATCACAAAACAGTTCTCATGGTTTTAAGAGAAAAACAAAAGTGTAAGGACTATGAGTTTTGATAAGACAAGAACTACAAAGTGTTTACAGAATACTATAAAATAGAGGTTAGCTGGAATTTGTGGGAGTCAATTCAGTGATATAGCAAGGCTGGAATTCAAGTTATGGAAGTGTAAAGAGAAAATGCAAGCAAGTAATTATGGACAATCAGCTACGTTGCTCTTTCAATAAGCTTATCTTTTTTTAAAAAAAGAAAAAAGAGAATGAGCCATAAAAAGAGGGTAGATTATTAGTAAAATAAGATGTCATTCTATTTTGGATATGACTAAGATGCCAAGAACACTCTCCTTGGCTGCAACTTGGGGAGAGAAGTTTTTCCTCTTCATATACAACTTTCATTTTTTTCTTGAAGCCTGTGTTTATACGTATGCTAACAGTGTTAGGTAAAATAATTGTGAGTTTTGGTAACTATCTTCTATACCACTTCTAAATATAATCACAGTATTTTATAAATTTTATAAAATGAATGTAAATATAAAATATATAAATATTAAAAATATTAAACCAATATATTTATTTTAAAAATGTAACCACAGTATGTATAAAATGTAACCGTAGTATTTTATAAATTTTATAAATTTATATTTTATAAATACTGTGGTTACATTCAGAAGTGAAACAGAAGATATCCCAGCTCCCCAGCTCCAAAACACCTTCTTATCAAAATCTTAGACATATACTTGACTATTTTCTAGAATTTTTAATAAACAAACATCAAAGTGTCATGTATATTCTCAATATTCTTTCCCCTACTAAGATATGGAGCCATTTATAATTTGACTTTAAATGCCTAAATGCCCAAACTTTGTACAACAGGATATTTATTAGATAATGACTTTCTAATTAAGTATATTTGCTAGAAAAAAATTAAACTCTCTAATGAACCTACAAAAATAAAAAGAGTAGTAAGGTATAGCCTCAGAGTTTCTCTAAAATTAGAAGGAAGTAAAGTGCTTGCTTTACTCAACCTACAGTATCAGTTGGATTCAACTATATATATATATTTAAGTCTTATAACAACCTTTCTCAATGTACAGCGGAATGCAAAGTGATTTTTTTTCATATTTTTCTCTTTGATGTCTGGGTTAAAAGACAAAAAAAAAACATAAAGTTTTAAAAAGTAAGAGTTGTTCAAATCTCTAAGGATGTTGGAAAATCTAGAAAATATGCTAAATAGATTTATTGTATTTAAGTAAAGCTATTTTTAAGAAAAATAATAATTTATGTTGTTCATTAAAAGCTTCAAATAAAAACATGTACCTCCTACTAGTAAACCATCTAAAATATATGTTTTTGATTTTTCACATTCACGGATTGGCTAAAATTTATATAGTACGTAATGTAAGAGTTCCTTACCAAACTATCTTCATGGCTTTGCAATCAGAGCCAATAGAATTGTGTTCTATTCCTATCTGTCATGTGTTGTTTGTGTTCTAATTGGAAGTCAGTAATTTTCTTGGAAACTCAGTGTTCTCACTGGAAAAATGGGAAGATAATACGTTTCCTTGAAAGGATTGTTGTGAGAATCTGTCTTAGCCTACTCAAGCTGCTATAAGAAAATACCATAAACTGGGTGGCTTAAATAACAGAAATTAATTTTCTCACAATTCTGAAGGCTGAAGTCTGAGATCAAGTGTCAGCTGGACTCAGTTTTTAATGAGGTCTCTCTTCCTGGCTTTCGGCAGCTACCTTCTTACTGTGTCTTTCCATGGCCTTTACTCTGTGTGCGTGCCCTTCCGGTATCTCTTCCTGTTCTCACAAAGTCACCAGTCCTGTTGAATTAGGGCCCCACTTTAATGACCTCTTTATTCTCAGTTATCTCCTTAAAGGCACTCCCTCCAAGTACATTCACATTGAGGGATAGGGCTTCAACCTATGGATTTTAGGGCATACAATTTTGTCCATAACAGTTACTGAATCAAAATCTCCGATAATGGAACTTGGAAATCTACATTTTCAAAAACATCCTGAGAAATTCTTAGACATACTGAAATTGGAAATCAAAACTCTACAATTTATTAATGGGTTTCAGAGGCATATGATTTGTATTAAGAAACCCATTAATAAATAAAACAGTCACCATATGCAAAGTGGTGATTTTTTTTCCCCAAAGTGTCTTTTTTTCCTCTTGTCCTTTATGTAGTAGATCCAGTTACCAATGGGAAGAAATATGGTTATCATAGAAAAAGTTCAAGATTTTCAGCCAGGTGCCATAATCCCAGTACTTTGGGAGGCTGAGGCAGCGGATCACTTGAGATTAGGAGTTAAAGACAAGCCTGGCCAACATGGTGAAGCCTCCATCTCTACTGAAAATACAAAAAATTTGCCAGATGTGGGGGCAGGCACCTGTAATCCTAGCTACTCAGGAGGCTGAGGCATAAGAATCACTTGAA